ATCCAGCTCCCTCAATAGCTAACATCTACTCTTGCCATTTCCAGTTGGTGTGTCCCATCTTTGCCAGCCCAGATGTTTCACAGTGGGCAATGCTCCTGTGCTTGGCAGAAGCTCCACAACAACAACAACAACAACAAACCCTTTTAATATGGGCAGAAGTGAAATGAGCTGCCTTTTCTCACATTGCTAAAACCCCTTAGCTACTAAATCGTGACTGAGGTCACCTGAAAACTCACAACGAAGAAGGTCTTTACACTCTTCACAGTCTTGGGGAACCGAATGTGCTCCAGAGTCTGAGGCATGAACTTGCATACACTGCTGGGATCTGCAGACGATGCACCATTCTGATCAGGAGGATCCTGCCATAATGCCAAGAATGACCAACTCCGCTCTCCCTTTTACCAAAACTTCAAGTTCTGGGCCTAAGTCTATTCCATCCTTCTCAGTGCTGCCAAAAAACTGAAACAAACCCAGAAACAAGCAATAAAATAAAATAAAATAAACCTCTGCCTTTCTTAGAACCTCCAGTTTTGAGGGGTGGTCATAGAGGGCAGGTGTTTGATAGCCACAGTGTACAACCCCCAAATCCTGAACTTCAGAAGCTTCCAGGCTGGTAGAGTCTGCTACTTTAGAGTAGGTCAACATAAGGTCTCTAAAGTGAACATGGCATCAGGCCTGACCCTTAAGCTGATCTCAGTCAGAAAAAAATGGCTTAATAAAGTGAAGTTTCAGGAAGCTGAAACCACACAATCAGCACCACTGAATGGAAGATGGCTTCTGTTTTCTGGCTTTGTCCAGCTATATTAAGCTGTGGTCCTTGAAGCCAACTAGTGACAAGAACCCACTATCAAGCATGACAAGCTGTACAGCAGTTTGGTTCTGGGGCTGGGCACAGTAATATCTGTGCAACAAACTAAGCAAATATTCCCAGTTCTGCAGGACCTAGAGCTTTACCTCAGCTCTTTTGATACAAGGACAGTCATGACCCTAAGCTACACTGATGTGCATCTGTTAAGTCCACCTAGCTACGCTCTTGGAATGAAATCAGCTGAAGGGTGGAGCTGAACTGTAAACAATGATGGGATCAAGCTACAAAATTCAGATCTCATTTGAGAAGCTCTGGTTAATTAAAATCCTGGATCTGAATCTGAGCTTAAATTCTGAAGCATCTTCAAAAACTACAGTTTGGATCCAGATTTTAACTGAGGCAAATTTTTGATAGCAAGTAAAATTCTCTAATAACTTCCTTCTTGCAAGAATTTTACCATTTACAGCAACAGTGTTATTACTTAATGGAACATCTTTAAGAATTAAGACAGAATATATATATACAAATTGCCAGGACCTCATTTCTTGCTCATAGACCAGCTTATATGAGAAAAAAGGAGGGGAAAAAAAAAAGGGATGGTCTTAAGGTGCCAAGGTTTCTTAACATTTTCTTTTTCTGTCAGTACTTTACTTTCTGAGTCTGGCTGGCTCACTCCCAAATGCTTTGGCAGTCAGAACTTCTGGTAACTGAGAGGATAATATAAATCCCTGCCCAAAGCAAACTGTTTCATTGACATCAAAATTTGGGCACCTTTTCCACTCCCATTACATTCTCTAAAGCCTTACCATAGTACCTGTATCACACCTTCCCAAGTCATTTGCCATTAACTCTCCTGTGGCAGTTAAAAGCTTTCCCATGAGGCAGTAAAAAATGTTCTTCAACGCTATGTAGAGGCAGCACAGAGTTTCATTAGCTATGAGGAACATGGAGACCTAGCAATCCCCTGCTTATAATGGGAGGCTGCAAAGGGATTTTTTTTTTTCTCTAACACAATTGTCAAAAGCTGCATATTCTGGACCCACCCACCACTGCTTGGCATAGTAAAGCACTTGCTAACATCTTTTGGAGATTATGAACTCAAACAAGAACTGTGCACTATTTTCAGAATTAAAATTCTCTCGGAATGAAACATGGAAACTTAGTTCTCTACTCTGTTCCCTCTTATAATGAATTATACACAAGTGCAGAATACAACAGGGAGGATCACATATGCAACGGGTAGCAGGAGCAAAGCCCACTTTTTTCACTCCCTTTGGATAAGGCAAGAGAATATGCTGCTAAAGATATGTTCCTTGCATATGTGGCCACAGAACTTCTCAGAAGTGCTCTGGCATCTCTCCCCTTGAGAAAACAGAGAGACTGAAGAGAGAGCATCGTTGAGAATCTGGGCTGACCAGCCCAAATGACACTAATTAAGTGACACTTTCAATACAGCCCCAGACCACATGGGCTCACTTTACTAAGAATTTGAAAACAGCAGCACTGCAGCAGCTTTTAGCAGAGAAAGGTCTAAACATGCAGCCATTGAGAGCTTTTAACTCACATCCACTGTGGTGGCTGTAGCACTTCCTACCAGCTGCTCAGTTACAGTTTAAGCGATAGCCCATAAGATCCATCAGAAGGCCTATAGACTGAAAGATCTCCATGAATGATGGCCCCTGCAGACACCATTACAGGGACAATCTCAAAGCTGGCAGCAACACCTGTGTTCCCATCTCCTCCATAGTTACTAGTGACAATTAAATTGCAGAGACAGCACAGGCTGTGCCTGACTTTGCAATCGCCCACAGTCACATACTGGGCAAAAGATGAGCCTGCAGCTTACTCAGGATTATAATGGAAGCTTTAATTCTATTCCCACAGCAGCTGTTGCTTATATGAACACGTATTTGCCTGTAATGATAATGGCCCTTCAGGACACAGCTTAATTCACTTCAAATCTCCCTCTCAGGATATAGTTCATGATCTGATCTGTGGTCCTACAAATCACCCGCTTTACCATACTTCTAATCAATCTGAAAGCATACAGGGACAGGGAGGTGAAAGGCAGCCAAGCTCTCAAAGAAACTGTAAAAACACAAGGAGCGGAAATTTAAAGGCGGAAGATGCACCAGGGGGACACACCACACAGTCATGGTGAAAGAGCAAGGGTCACAGACATGTCAGAGTGCAAAAGGGCAAAAGCCCAGGGACATGCAGATCAGTAGATACCCTTGCTTTTCTCTGCTCATGGCAGTGTGGAGCACAGCTGGAGATAGTTGCAGAAGTGTTATCTGGCTTTAAGCAATGATGAAAATAGATGATACTGGCCTTTGCTATGACCATATCTTCAATTTCACTGATACCAGACTGAGTATCCTACAAGCCTGAGTGTCCTCTGTCACTAGACAACCAACAACAAACTCCCTCACACCCAAATCTTGCCTGCCTAAAGAAGGTGCGGCTGAGCACAATAACATTTATGAGCAAGATTTGGAAGATTAAAAAAAAAAAAGGCTTTTCCTGTCCAGCAACTTTTATTTTGGCCCTACCATGTGCTAGAAAGAGCACTCATTTCATGCAACAGAAGAGCTGGAGTCAGCACCTTCACATTGCATGTTTACCACCAGACCAGCCTGGGGTAACTCACACCATGTGTGACTTGGCCCCACCTGTTTCACCTTCTGCTTCAGCAATCACAGATCTCCTACACTGTTTACTTACGCTATCCAAGCCAGATTTACAAGAGGGACAAGATCGTACTTGTTGGGGAAAGAAGGAAGTATGCCCCAAACATCCTTGGCAGATGTGTGCCCTTGGGCTACAGTGATTCGGGACACTGTTCCTCCCAGCCCTGTTTTCTACATATTCCAGGATTAATTTAGATTACTTGTTCCTTTTTTTTTTTTTCATAGAGAAGATGAGACTTTCACAGGGATTGTTAGACAACATAATGAGAAAAGTCAAATTCCTTTGGACTGGCTGACAAACAAGCAGAATGTGAGGGTCTAAGAAAGGGTGAGAAAAGGAAGGAAAAGGAACACGAAGGCCCTCCATAGCAAAATGTTTTGCAGGACACAGTAAAAGTGTTGGGTCCTTCTTGCACAGAATAATTATGACAAAAGCAAGAATGGCAACAAACTTGGTCTTGGCGTAGACCATCCCATCCACCAGGGACAAGGAGTAAGGGAAGCTGTTGCTATTCGATCTGCCTCCCACTTCGTCCATCCAGAATCACAGAGCGCCTCTGGGGCTGATAAAAGCAGCTGGTAGAGGTCTCCAGTCTTTGGCCATTTTTGGGTATGGTCATTTTGTTCCGCAGAGTGACCCCCTCGGGTGTTGTCCGCGACGTCTCAGACAGGTCGCTGCCAATGGGGCTTGAAGAGGTTGTCTGAGTAGGGCTCCTTATAGGTGATAACAACACCCTAGAGTCTGCTGAAGAGGATGGGTGGTCCATAATGGGGAAAGGGGGACTGAAGAGAATCAGACTTTGGGGCCTCCCAGGCCTAGATCTGTAGGAAGGCTTGGAGAACCCCGAGGGCCTCTCCATCTTTGAGGACTGTGGGGTGTCTCCAGCAGACTCACCCTCAGAGGTGCGCTTTCGACGCATTACAGGGGCATCCAGGCCAGCACTATGACTGGACTGAGACGGCTCTAGTGGAGAGTTGAGGCTGCCATGCCAAGAACAGGTTGAGTCCTTTTGAGCTGGGTCACTGTTTTCTTTCTCTGCTTTGGCTTTCTTCTCTGTCAGCGGGCTCTTTGGGGGCTCCGGATGGCCCCATGCTGCTCGGTGACCCTGCCTGCCAGCCTGCTTGGTGTCTGCTTCCTTCTTCTCTGCCGATAAAGCAGCATTCTGAGCCTGCAGAGGCTGAGGGATCTGGGTGTACTGAATCTTGGGTGGTATCACAGGCACAGCTCTAGCCTGGCACATCTTAATCATGAAGGAGGTCCTAACTGCTGACACACTGACAGGGGCAGAATTGCGACGGCCAGTGGTGGCATGGGCCACTGCTAGGTAATCCAAGTCTAAATCCACATGGGCATTAAAGCGAGACCCCCAGGGAACCCCTTTACTCACAGCAGGGCAGGCAGTTGGAAGGGATGGGACAGAGTCACTGCATTTTACTTCCTTTTGCCCATACAGGAGGTTCCCAGGGGTGGGAGGCATGGCAAGGCTCTCAAAGGTGAAGAAATCTGGGGCTGGAAGAAGTGAATCCAAGTTGAGGGATGATGGCCTAGTCCTCCCTTTACGCAGTGTGTCTTCACCTTTATTACTCAGCTGTGATTCAGTGGCAAAGCACAGTCCTTTGGTAACAGTCTGCCCTGTCAGCGCGGTGTTCTGACATGTGGATAACTCCTCCTTTGTGTTTTTTGTCTGTAAAGAACTGTCTGGGGTATTTTGGTATGGCAAAGACAGCTCAGGCTTTGAGCTCCAAGGGTTTTCTTGGCTTGTGTCCACTTTCTTTTCCTCCGGCTCTGAAAGCGGAATTCTGGAGAGTCCCTCTTGCTTGGCTGGCTCTCCCTCTCTGCTGAGGAGATACCTTGGTCCCTCAGGTTTCAAAGGCTCTTCTGGAGTGCTTATGCCATTTGCATCTTGCTTAACTTTGCCCATGCTAGAAGGGGAGACAGGTTGTGTTTTGGGCTGATCACAAGTCCCTGTCAAAATGTCACTGCAAGGTTGTTGCTGTTCAGTGACATTTGTGAAAGAGAAGGGGATAGTCCAGAGACTCATCACCGTGTCTTTACTATCCAGGGAAAGGCTGCGACTGAATCGTGGTCTAAGAGAAAGGCCTGTCTCTGTTCTCTGACTGTGTGGCTGTATCTCCTGTGTCATCTTTTCTTGAATGTCCTTAAAGGTGGGGGAATGGAGTGGGCTTGTGACCCACTGGTGATCCTCCCATGGCTCTACAAGTTCTAAGCTCTGCACATTATCTGTCCAGGTATCCTCTTCATCGTGATCACCAGCATCATGAGTTCTGCTAACAGCATTGCCCTCCTTTGGCTCCTGGATTCCAGTTCCACTCAGCACCTTGGAGGAGAATGCATTCCTTCCATCAGCAATCATTTTCTCAGGCTTCTCCTTCTGGTCTCTGGTAATATCATCCTCTTCCCTCTGCAGCTGGCAAATACTATCTTTTTCTCTCTCTGGCTCTGAACATGTTCCTCTGCAACATGAAAAATTTATTGGTGGAACCTCATTAAATTCTGGTTGATTATGAAGCTCCCAGTCCAGGGTGGGAGTGAGACATTCACTCATGCTGTCCTCCATGACTGGACCTTGGTTCTTTGGCGTAGCTGTAGCAGTCAGAAGAGTAGCTGGTTTGAGTAGGGCTGGAGCACAGCTGTGATGGGTGGTCACCTCAGACTGGCAGTTTGGGAGGTCATCCGATTGTTCTGCGCTGGTGGTATCACGTACAGGCTCCAGAGATGTGGTCTGTGCTGTTCTGCCTGCCAATTTCTGCTCAGGCAGATTTGGACCCTTCCCTGAGCCAGAGGAAAAGCTATCTGTGTGTACTGAAGAAGAGGATTCAGAAATTAGGCCTGTCTTTTGGACAGCTGCTGGCAAGGGCAAGAGCTCTTCAGGTTCAATGATTTTCAGTTCCTGCTGTATCTCTGGCCACAGTGGCTCTAGTAGGGCATTAGCAGGGTCTTCAGTCTGAAAAACAGAAGAAATGCCATGACTTGGAAACTTGTAACTTACCAGGAGACACCTCCTATTTTCCTGACAGAGCCCTATTAGAATAGACAGGCTTTTGGACAAGCACACTCATGGGATATATGCACACATGCACTGCTACCTGCCCAGCTAAGAAAATGTATCTATAAACAAGTGGGCTTATGGAAGAAAACATCTGAGGTATAGCCAGAATTATGCCTGAAAAGAGGCCTGTAGCTATGAGATTTAGGTGAATGAGTAGCTGGAAAATCCTAGACCGCTTTTCAGCTCTTCCCATTTAATGCTCCCATGGCATTGATAGAGATTCTACATTCGCAAATCACTGCTGGCAAATGCAGCATCACACTTCATTGTAATGAATAATCTATTTAAGGATCTGTGCCAAGAGATCTTTAAATAGCTGTCCAGAGATGAGTATCACTGTAAGGAACTTGGTGAAAAACCTCAGCTAGGGATACAGGGGAGGCCAAAAAAAATGTTAGAGTGTCTGGAGAATGGAGGAGAAAAGAATTGTTCAGGCTGTCCAGGAAATGGGACAACAAAAGCAGGAGAGTTAAGAGACAACTGGTCAGAATGATCAGACACCTGGAGAGTCTCATATCTGAAGAGACTCACAAAGTGATAGATTGCACTGGATGTAATTGCATAGTTACGGAGGGGGAAAAAAAAAAAAAAACAAGAGGGGATAGTAGGTAGCTGCCTAAAGGTAAATAAGTGGTCATGCAGACAGAATTGACATGGATACACGGTCAGTTTTTGACTCTTCTTAACCTAGGTCAAATTTTCCATGGCTAGGGACACACAGTGAAACTTTCAAGAGCTTTCTAATCACTATTACCTCTGTCCCCCACTGTTTTTTTCTTTTACCTCACAGTTGCTTCCTTACCAGATCTCTTAAACTCAACCCTTCCTCTGTTTTAGCCTTCTGGATGTCCTGCTGGCCACAGGTGGCTTCTGAGGAGCCTTCTTTCATCTTGGGCTGCCCTTGTCCTGCCTTGTCTTCAGGCAGCGGCCCATTGCAAGTCTCTAAGGTTGGTACTGCATCCAAGCTAGGACTTTGGTCTGGGGATTGTTGGGGGCTGCTGCTGCTGCTTGCGCTGCTGCTTTGCCCACATGTCTCCTGATTTTCCGCTGCTGGCTGTGGAGTTTCTAAGGACTCCAGTTTCCTGTCTGCCGCCGACTCCTCAGGATGTGAACCTGGATTAGAAAGACAAATCAACTATGTAGCTACTTGAGACCAAGAGCATGTACCTGACAGTGGTCCCTGAGAGAAAGGAAGTTGTGCTGGTTCAACTTGGCATGAACAAAGTTAGGCAGCTTTGGCAACCCTCTAGGCATAACAGGACATTGCTATGAGGAACCCACTTGCTCAGCGTTATCACCACAGCATGCACCAGCCTGTTTGGTCACTATCATCGCCCACCTCAGCAAACACTGATATCTTTCCTACCACATGAGCAGGCTACAGCAGCCTCGAGGCCACTGGGGCAGCTAGGGCTGTCCCTAAATGTCTTTTACCTCTGGATTCTGCTGCTGTCAGGGCAGGCCCAGGCTGCTTGTCCTTCCTCTCTGGGACCGGGTTTGTCCTTGTGTGGCTCCCTGCTTCCAGGACAGTGAGAGTTGGGTTCTCAGGCACCAGAGAAGACAGTTCCTCGAGGCTGGAGAGCGAAGGCTTGTCCTTGGCAGACACACGGCACGGAGTGCTGTTGGTGCTGATGACTGCGGATACCCGGAGAGGGACAGAGACAGCAAAGGGCTCTGAGATGTTGAGGGCTTTCCGCTGGTGACGAGGGGAGGCTTCCAAAGGAAAGAGGCTGCTTGGAAAGCCTGACTTGGCAGCTGTGTCTGAGGTGTAGAACATGCGGCCACTTTTGGGGGAAGTCTGCTCGTTTTCAGCATCTTCTGCTGCCCGGAAGACCTTCAGCTGCTCGGGGGGTGACTTTGCCTGTGATGCCCATGGGGCACCTTTCTCCCCACTCAGCTCAGAGCTTCCTTTGGCCCCCACAGCAGATCCTTCCTGCTCCCACTCATTCTCCTTGCTGAGGTCGTATGAGCTACCTGTGCCTCCTGTCCGTATTTTCATCACCGGGACAAAAAAACCTCCAGTAGTCACTGCCCGTTTGAATCTGCTTTTCTCGTCCTCCCCTAGAGCAGGGAAGATACCAAGGTGTCAGTGGGAAGCAAAACACCAACAGTAGCTTTTTTTCTGTGAGGCTCCCATAGTTCCTCAGAGGGAGAGGAGTCATTGAGCATCTTTTAGGCTCCAGCTATGGGTCCTTCTTCAAATTTGGCAAACAGGACTGGATTCAAAGGGAAGCATCTTTGAGTTTCATTAGAGGCCCTTCTGAGTCAAACCCACCAACTCTACTGCTGGTGAGGAGTGCACACCAAGATCACAGCCCAAGGCTATGTGGGCTTATTTCACACACTTGTCACAGTGTTATGCTATTTACCTTATAAATGGGAATTTTGTGCCTACTGGAATAATCAAAAATTGGATCAAAACAATCCTGCTGCTAATGAAGACACAACCAGGCACAGTGATCATTCTCAGACACACATACCAGCGTAAAAGTATACAGATACAGGTTAAAAATGCATGCACACCAAGGCAGAGGCACATGTCAGAGGACTTGCCATAAACACACAAGAATATACAACAGACTCAAGTAAGCAAAAGACAGACCCACAGCATACATGGAGGAATAGGATACAGAGAGGCCCAGCCTTTCATTCTTACAGCATACATTATGTATCTCACCTTCCACGGGCAGGGAACACAGTGAGTCCATGCTCTTAGCAGGCCGAATAGTTGCTTTTTCTGTGGAAAAAAAAATAAGTTTTAGAAATGGGCTTCAGATTCTGCAGCTTTGCAGGCTTCAGCCCATAAAGAAGAAAGGCTACATATAGACAGGCATGCCAGACCAACATCAAAGCTACTTTCTATTTTCAAGCACGCTCCCTCTGTATCCACACCATGCATCTTATTGCCCACAACACTTGTCCACACAGCTGGGGATCAGCTAGTGCTAACAACAGCTTTGCACCTGCCACACATGTGCAGAACTATACTTAACCCAGCACCATCTCTACCGTGAAACACTTATAAGCATCTCCAAAACCATTTTGCTCCATTCCATCCCTTATCACATCATGCCATTGGTTCTGAGGACTTTTTCACCAAACTGACATTAAGGCCCTCTCACCTGTCACTTCTTATAGCAAATGTTAGGTTATTTTTACATCGCACTCCCAGATTGTTCCACTGGCATGAGCATATTCTGCCTCAAGCAAGTGCTCTGGGAAATTTATGAGGGAGGGCAATAAGGTGCCTATTTTGCTGGTCATCCTTACTGGGCGTACATGTCTGGAAATAAGCTGTCATTTGTCACAAGACACTCTACAGGTCTGTTCCTGAGAGGTTTTGGAAGGGCTTAACTGTTACTGCTCTGAAAAGCAGAGAAGGGGGGGGAAGGGAGCTGGCAAGAAAGACAAGTTAGTCACTGGCAGCCCAAAAAGGATCAGTGGAGCTCTGGAAAATGTCTGGGAGCAAAGTTTGCTATTTACAATGCTATATAAAGTATGTAAGGCAAAAAAGTGATTTGTTTATATAATTAAGGGTTCTGGGCCTGACATTCACATGAGTCCAGGAGAAACTCCAGCTACTTTTCACATTTAGATGGAATCCTGGCAACCTTTTACATGCAAATGGCATGATGTCCTGAGCACCAGCTCAGCATTCCCAGAGTAACAGAATTCAAACTGTGAAACTCAAGTTTCATGTGGCTCACAGATTGCATGCAGGGACACAAACTATGCTAAGACACGTTCTCGGTTTCAATAGCAGGGCGATCTGTTTCCTCACATTAGGTTGTAAATAGAGAGTGCACAAAAATTCAACACTAAAGTACAGCTAATCAAAAGCTTCAATTCAGGGTCTGTATCTCTGCAGGGTCCTGTTATGATAACACACAGCCTCCTTCCGCTTAGCATTGTGCCTGGAACAAGGCACAACCCCCACCATCAATAGGCTCCCAACATTGTTGAACATCCTTGGGTTAGCACTATTTTGGGGAACAAAATTCCTTATCAACCTGAGAAGCTGGTTTGATGTTCAAAATAGGATGGAAAGCTATTCCGAGACCTGCATGGGCATCGTGTGTGAGGCTGTCTGCATGTGCAAAACACACGGCAAGGCAAGGGGCCAAAAGGAGTTGGATCCAGCACTTGACTTCACACTCACATCTGATTCATATACAGCCACTCTTGTATGAGGTGCCAGCTATTGTTGCCAACTTGAACTCTTTTAAGTCTTGCAATGTCTGGTAGCATTCCTCTAAACACTTGTTCTTGAGGTCATAGGCTTTCATAGGCTTATGTAAAAGTCACACCTTCACACCTTTACTGTCTTTTTTAAAACCAAGTTCCTAGTCCTGGATTTTTTTTTTAAAAAAAAAGGCGATATAACACTAGACCTCGAATCACTAAATCCCTTAGGAAATCAGATAAGAAGTTATATCTTCATTTAAATGTCTTTGTAAGTCAACTTCATGTTTTTGAAAACTTGACTCATCATTTCTGAATGCTTGGAATTGGCACTACCAGGCAGGTTTCTGGGAAGCACAATGCTTAATAAATTGTAGCTCAGGAGAGGTTAGAATTTGGGATCATAGCCAGGAGGAAAAACATCTTTTTCCTTGTAAATTCTGCAAAAGTAATCACTTCCCTCAGAGTGCTGAGAGACAGCAACCATAGGAACTTACAACACCTTGTTTATCACAAAGATACCAAACATTATCAGTTATTTAATGCCCTTTAGTGAAAAGATAGTCATTTACCCAGTGCTGTGTAAAGAATGATAGGAGTTAGAGGCTGACAGGAGAGGAAAAGTGGACTAATCCAACCCAACATAACACATGGCATTTCCTAGTCCCAAAATGTGTCAGCTGGGCAATGGGAGCCTGTTTATCATAACTGTGGCTGTCTAGTATATCCTCCTCAAGGCTGCTTCTCACCATCATGTGAAAATGAGATATCTATGAAAGCAGGCAACAAACATGACCTTTCAACTAGTTTACTCTTCATACCATATTTTAAGTCTAATGGTATTAAGTGTCATGTAGATGCAGGTTACCCCACACTTTGTGTGTGACAGGCAAAGCTGCTTGTGAGAGATATTCAAACAGAAGGTGTGTACTTACCAGAGAGCTTCTGGGCCCTTACGAAGACACTCCCATTGCGACTCAGTTTAGACTTTGATTCTGAGCCAGAACGGCCCAAGTTAAATATGGATTTCCATTTCTTGGACTTGGTAGATAACTTTCTCCTAAAAGAGAAAAGACTCATGAGGTCACCAAACTCCAGACACTTTTGTCTTTCTGGTGTCTCGCAAAAGCCACGGGGCATTCTCACCTCACGAGTGCCCCTCATTTTTTCACTCTAAGGCATGCAAGGCATAGCTGGAAAACCAACTCTTGCTTATCTGTAAGTTATTTATCTGTCTTGCTGATTTAACTAGTTCATTGGAAAGACTCATGAGCTGACTACTCACAGAGTTGGCTCTGGATTGATGCAAAAGGAGCTGTGACTAACTGACCAACCAACCATGCCAGCCTACAGAAAGGAGAGGCTTCTGAGTCTAATGCTCTCATGCATTGCGTCCCAGAAAAAAAAAAAAAACTTTTTACCAGGTTTTAATGACAGAATATAAGATAAATTCCAGAGAACTCATAGAACATGTACTCTGCTCTGGCATAAAAAGCTAACCTTTAAATTCCATATGTCTTTTAGTTTTTATGAATTTGCAAAACTGAAAGGGTCCCCTAACATAAAATATCTATTAATGCTTTCCAAACCAACTTCATTTTACCATACATATTTCATGATCATATGTTAGTGTGAAGTACTAATCAAAAGGAAGACGCTTAAGGCAATTAAATCAAACTCTACTAAATGTCAGAGGAAACAGACACCATTTCCCTATGTCTCTTCGGAAATCCCAGTTTAAAGCTGCAAGAAACTGCTGCATCTGAAGCCAGTTCTCTTCTATGCATATTGCTGCGTGAAGCTCTGTTTCACATATCTTCATACCCATTCTGACTCCTTCAGTCTCACCTCTTTCAGTGAAAGGACTCTCTTGCTATTAGATCAATTCTCAAATAGGGCAAACTAGTGTTACAAAGACAATCAATATCTTAGAAATGGGACTTTCCTCTTCAAGTGAACAAAGAGAAGATGGTGGAGGAGGACAACACACCCTTTATCCTAAACTGGTTGCCCATGTACCAGTATTCTGTTAGATGGCTCATTTTTGCTTCACAAAGATATTGTGAAGAAATATCCTTGGCACAATGCTCTATGGGTCAGTAGATTAATGACTCTCCTGCTTCAGAGGCTATAATCTCTCAGAACCAGACAGTGTAGTGGCCATAGAGAAAAAGATAGATAGACCAATAGATAAATAAATATTGCAGGTAGCAATGCCAACAACTGCAGCCATGTCAGCTGCCATCAGACTCTTCTCTACATAGGTGCACTTACATAAATATCTCTTAGTGTTACAGCGGGAGTGAAATTTTGCCTTATCCCTTTGCTCTGCAGGCAGAGGAACCTGGAGAATGACAAAGCTGGGCAGATCAGCATCACCAGCAGGTGGAACTCTTAGGAGCGCTGTGTCCAGACCTGCTCTGCACCCAGCCCATGCTTAGTCAAATTCTGGGCTGACCAGAGCTGCAAACACAAACCCTTCTGCAGGAGGTCTGGGAGATTTTTCCCTGATGGGGCCAGGAGACTAGAGGAACTGCAAACTCAGCTTCTAAAATGCTTTTCAGGAGCAAATCTATCTTGTTTGAGAAGGGCACACAACTTGCTTGATGTGCCTGTAAATTCATAGGTGCAAGTGTGCGGGTTTCACCGACCCACCCCTACAGAACCTTCATCCACCCTTCTGTTCCTGATCACACTGGGGATCTATTTGCACTTTCTGTTTTACACCTTACACTTCCTTTGGCACTTACTTGCTGTCAGGAAGGTCAACAACTGTGTGGAAGAGGGACCCAGTTACAGGGACAATTTCAGGCAAGCTGTTCTCTCTCCTTTCCTTGCGAGCAGGGTGAGAAGCTGACAGGCTCCGGGCCTGCGCTTCTTCCAGGCTCACCAGTTTCATTGGTAGGGAGGCCGAGGGGAGGGTCAGACTTTTCACAACTGGCACGTTCTCTGAAAAAAAAAAAAAAAAAAGTACATTCCAATTCAGGAGGAGGAGAGAAGAGCAAGAGCTTCATGTCTTTATTTGACTGGAACATCTCCTGTGGAGAGGCCAAAAGGAGCAGCACGTGCAGAGAGAGAGGTTTTTGTCAGATAAGTCTTCCATCTCCCCA